ACTTAAGTTAAATACTCTTTTTGGTCCTCTACTATTTTAAAAAATCTTTTTTTAATTCTTATACTAAAAAAATCTTTTTTTAATCCTTAAAGTATAAAAAATTCGACCTCTTTTTAATATTACTCATTAAGTTTTAATGTGACATATTAATTAAGAAAAATTTATTTTTTTTCTTTACTTAAATTACATGAAATATCCATATAATAAAAGTTAATAACATGGTTAAATTTTTTATTAATATAACCTTAAAATTATTTAATTATATAATTATCAATATAAATATTTTAAAGGTTATTATTCTCTCCTTCCTCTAGCTGTTTTTTTCTTCTTCTTCTTCTTCTTCTTCTTCTTTTGTTTACTTTTGGGTTCATCACAAACCCAAGCATGAGGTTCATTGCGAACCTAGCTCCTAGGTTTGTCTTGAACCCAAGCATGGGGTTCATCACGAACCTAGCTCTTGGGTTTGTCTCCGAACTAAAGATGAGGGATTTTTGGTTTAAGGAGAAAGAAGATGGGGAAGAATACAGTAAGGATTTTTGGTTTACTTCTTTGATTGGATGAGGAAGAAGATGGGGAAGAAATAGATGTGCCTGGGCTACTTGGTAATGGTGGGTAATGTTATAAATTAGAGCCTATGTATAGTGATTTTTTTGTAAATAGAAGGAAGTGTGTGGATAAAATAAGGAGAATGAGTAAATTTCATTAAAATGAAAAATAAAAGTTCTCGCATAAGCATAAATTTCGTGCTTCTAAAAATTGCATTAGAATGAAAAAAGATCAGCTTGTGAAAAGGACTTATATTTTTCAAAAGCTGTGGTGTTTGATACAACTGGAGCTTTTAAGGCCTAAAGAGCATTTCTCACCAGCTGCACCAAACATTCAATATAAGTGACATGAAAGGAGATAACATTCTCTCATTCACAAGCTCCTCTCCATCCGATTCAAGACTTGAAAATGAGATTCTAATTTAAAATCTCAAACTTTTTAACCATTGAACCACCTCATTAAGGTTATTTTTATGTTGTTATTTATTTCCTTACTATTGCTATTTGGGCCCTTTATGTAGTTCTTTAATAATTAAAATAAAATACGTCACGAGCATGCAGTTTATGCTAATTAAGTTAATTGAGAAAAGGTCTAAATACAAAAAAAAAAATAAAATTGTACCATTATTTTAATTTAAAGATATGAGTTTTTTAGATTTTTAAAAACAGCCAACAAACTTTTATTTTTTTAATTTAAGAATATGAATTGTGCAATTTTTTTCTATTTAAATATATGAATTTTGCCCTATTTAAATTAAGATTATTGTTTGTCATATGATCATTGTCATGCAATAAATTCTTAAATAGAAAAAATGCAAAGGTTATAATCTTATTTAAGAAAAAAAATAAAAGTTTATTGCCTAATTAGAAACTTAAAAATATTTACATCCTTAAATAAAAAAATGATAAACTTCATACCCTTATGTGTATCTTTTCTTAAGGAGCCTTACGGATCTAATTTATTAATAAATAAGTGTTTTAGTCTTATAATTTAAGTTTAAGATTCAAATTATGAAAAAAAATTTAATTTCTTTAAATGTATCAAATCATTTTTTACTTTTGAGAATGTTTGACAATGTTGGCTCAAGATTTGAGATAATGTTATACGACAACTCTAACTTCTTTTTATAGATTTGGTTATGAGTGTTGTCTCAAAGATTTTTCAATTTCAACACATTTTTGCTTAACATCAAAGATCTAATTACATTAATTTAATAAGTTTCGGCCCCTAATGGAGACAATTAAGATATTGAGACCTAATTAAACCAATATCAGAAGATTAGTGGTCTACCAATATAACTCCTTTTTATTTGATATGTCTCTTTGTTTTCGTGTAAAGTATGTAGATTACGTGTGAAGAAATGATTGGTAGATGTCTGTAGTCTGTAGTAAAGAGATATCTTCATCGCATCTTGTGCTTTCTCTCTCCAAACAAAATTATACCATGTGTCCAATTTGGAGAGGGACATAAGGAGAGAATATGACCTCTTCACCTACTAGAAGCGTGTGGATTAGTTTGGTGCTTTGGTAATTGAATCCTTCATCTAGTATTACCAAAAACCGAAAAACAAAGGAGAATCCTTCATCTGGATTTGGTATTTTAGGATAATTCTTTCTTTCTAGACTTCTAGCATAATTTTTACTCTCTCTTCGTTTGTTTAAAACTTTAGGTGGGGATTTAAAATCTAATTTTTGACTTGAGAATACATTTATAACATAATTTATAGTATTAAATTTTTAAAAAATCAGGTGTAAATTATTTACCTTTTTTAGTTTACTTTTTGATAAAAGTTTTCATTTTTAGTTAAGTTAACAACTTATTGTATGTTAAGGTCAAGTTTTATGAATTTAAAATTTAAAAGTTTATTTATTTAATAATATATTATAAATTTATAATTATAAACTTATAAATGTATATATCCTATTTTAAGTACCTCAACGTCGATCTTATTTTGATAGGTTACTAACACACATCTGAAGTGTTAATGACTTAGTGCTACATTTTTCTTTCTTACACATCAAGCAAAATTAATAAGATTTTTTACTTTCTCTATAATACCCCTTATGCTAAGAACAAATCTAGTTTTAGTCCCTATTTATTTCCATTTTAAAATAATTTCAAACATATATGTTTAGGTACAATATTATCATTTGATATTAGTACGTATCAATCCTAAGTTTTTAAAAAAATTAGAGTTTCAACTTGAAAACAAAAAATCTCAATTCAAAAATTAGAAATTCACCATATTAAATATTAATACCTAAATTTGAATATCAACTATATATTCTAATATAATTAGTTTTTAAATTTATATATCAACATTTAATAAGATAAATTTTTTAAATTTTAAATTAAATTTTAATTAAATAAAATAATATCATTTAATGTTAAAAAATTCTTATATTTTTAAAATTGGAGACTGATATGCATTTTTCTCTTATCATTTACTATTTATTATCATTTATTATTTAGAACTTCTTTTGGATTATATGGGCTAGGCCTTTTGGCTTGATTACTCTACTGATAATTGTAAATCACATCATTTATAAGTATTAGTAAGATACCACCTTGGGGGTTGGCATGTGTTCAGTAAAAAAATCTTAAATTAAGAATATAATAAAAAAATATATAGTTTAAATACAAGAAGAACAACTTAAATGGCGTACTGTAAATTGCACTGTATGAATTTTGTAAGTTGCATAGTTCGAATTGAGGATATAATAAAGAAATATATAATTTAAATAGAAGAAGAGTGACTTAAATGGCATATTGTAAATCGCATCATATGAGTCTTGTAAGTTGCACATTTCATAAGTTTCAAATAAGAAGACACCACCTTGAAGGGTGGTAGACATAACCTATTAAAATTATTTGCACTCAAATAGCATGGAAAAAAATTTGAAAATGCATTCACAATATGGGTTAAATAACTTTTAATTGCTTGAGCCAATTGCAATGTGTTTCAATTATTATTTACCCTTAAATCCGTAAATAGATAGAAAACTTAAATTCTAATTATTTCTATTGTTTCTATTTTTTTTTTTGTCAATTCTATTATATGAAAAGAAAAATAAAAAGTTGACTTTAGTTTTGTTAACCATTCAATTAAAATATTTCATATGACATTAATGTTAAAAATAAATTTTATTTTCATAATTTTTTTTATGTATTAATAAAAAAAGACAATAATTACACTTATAAACACAAAGGTTAAAAAAACCCTAACCTTATTCCTTTCGTCTCTTATTTTACCCTTTGCCATTAACATCTGTGAAAAGCTGCACTTGTTGCATTATTATTATTTTTTTATCTCAAATTAACTGTTTTTTTTTTTGTTAAACCCCAATTTTAGTTCCTCAATTATTATGTAGATAAATCTTTATTATTTATCATTTTAACTCTAAATTAATCCTTCCATCAAATTTTTATTGATGTGTCATATTATTTATTATTTTAACCATCAATTAGTCCTTTTATTAAATTTTTATTAACGGTAGCATGTTAAATAATGACAAAAACATACCTTTTCAATAAATAAAATATATGAAATTTACAACGTGACATAATATATGAAATTTACAACGTGACATAATATATGACCTAACAAGAGTATTGTTTACCTAATCTTTAAATATAATAAAATGACCATGTTACCCTTATCTTCAACCCCTAAATCCTTTCATTTTCTCTCTCCCTTTCCCAACACCAGTCTGGGTTCGGTGAACCGAAACAAATCTAAACGGCAGAAATTCCCTTTTCCCGTTTCTCTTTCCTCTTCCTTTCCTTTGCCTTCTACAAAACCTTATACTTTTCTCAGCTGCTGGGGTTCGGAACCCAGCAGATTTGCACGGTTCAAACCCAGCCAAATTCGATGATAATCGGCGGCGGCAGCAGCGGATTAAGAATGGATTGGCACCGGACATGCCCTTGGAATCAACGGAGACGGATAAAACAGGAACGACAGAGCCAACAAATCTTGACCCGACCCAGAAACAGTTGCGAAATCCTCAAGGACGGAGATTTAGCACCTCTGCGAAACAATGTACAACAAGGGTCTCTGGAGGTACATCGCCACGCATTTATTCGACATCCTGAAGCTTCGGGAAGAAGTACCTGCGGCTCTAAAGCTCAACCCAAAGCTGGCTAAACTGGTTTTGAAATGCAGTGGGAGGTTTTTTCTGCAAGGTATTAGAGCCCATAGCAAGGACTCAGCCATGATTCCTGCAAGGCAAGCATCTGTTTTTATTTTGGAACTTTTCCTTCTGATGATGAGAGGTTGTGATGGAAGCCAGGTTGGATTGAACAGGGTTTGAAGGAAGAGGCGGAGATGGGAGCAATTGCATGGAAAAAGGGGTTGATTAGTGAAGGTGGGTTAGTTAAGGCTAGTGAGATTGATGCCAGTGGTTCCGTTTCTCTTCCCTTTTCCTTTTCCTTTCCTTAAACTTTTCATCAGAGAACGGGAAGATGATTGGAGATGAGAGAGAAGTGGTATGTCCAATCGAACCCTGCAAACCTGCAGCTAACGGGCCAGCAAGGGTAATGTTTTCAGGGATTTTTCCTGTAGGAAAAAGATAACCTGCAGCAAAATTTTTCTGGTTGCTGGGTTCAATCGTACATGTCACTTCTCTCTCATCTCCAATCATCTTCCCCTTCTCCGATGACTTATTATTTTTTGGGTTTAAGTACTATTTTGATCCTTAACTTTTTATTTAGATATCAAAATTATCTTTTAATTTTAAAAAATATCAAAATTATTTTTAAATTTTTATTTTTGTATTAAAATGATTTTTCTATCAATTAAATGATAGGTAATACGTTATTTTGTCACAAAATCACATTAAAAAAATAATTATGTAAAAAATAAACTTGATGAGATGACATTTTTTTTTTTCATATGGTATTTTGTTCTTATTTAAATAAAAATTTACATAATTTATTATTATATTATTCATCTTTTTCTTACTCCCTTCTTCTCTCTCATCCCTCCACCCCTTCCTCTTTCCCAGCCTTCTCCTTCTGCACCAATGAATGGGTTTGCCCAGCAGGCGAAGAGCATGAGTGAGGATGGCGAAGACCATCATGAGCAGGTTTAAGCCAGGTAGGGTTCTGATTTACTTAAATGTAGGTTCGAGCCAGCGGGTTCAAGCCAAGTTTTAAATTTAAATACATTGTTTGTTTTTACTTAAATATAATATATTTGAATTTCATCTAAATATATGTATTTGAAACTTTGTATTTCAAAGTTAAAATTACATATATTTCAAATACATCTTTTAATTCATAAATTTCAATTCTAACTTCTTATATTTCATCAAAATAATTAAGAAAGGGTTTAATTTAATAAGAAATTTAATTTTAAATACACTACATTTTAACATATCTAAACAATATATTTAAATATATATGTATTTTACTTTTTTCTCTTTCTTCTTTCCCCTTTTCTCTCCCTTCTCTCTTGCATCTGCCTTCCCTTTCCGGCGCGGTAGTTTTTTTGGTCGGAAGCCTTTGAGCTTCCGACGTTTTGATGCTTGAGCCGCTGGGGGCTCCCCGGCCGCTCAAGCATGCTGGAGCCGACCTGTGCTCCATCCTCCGATGACCCTTCGGGGTCTGTCGGTTTATGGGTCCCTTTCCGGTGACCCCTTTTGTTCTTTTGTTTGTTGGTTGTTTTGTATAGTTTTAGCTTCTTGTACAGTTTGTTTTTTCTGATCCGGCGACCCGTGGCTCTTTCCTGTTGATCTTGGTAGGGGTTCGTTGGGTTTTTCTTTTTTTGTTCTGTTTGGTGCAGATCCGGCGGCTTTCTTTCTCTTCCGGCGGATCTGAGGCGGCGCGCGCGAGGGCTTCCAGATCTGACGCCCACCGTGGCTCTCCTGCTGGTTCCGAGGGTCTTCCGCCGCCAGATCGGGTGACCGCACGGCATCCTGGAGCCTGGTGCTATTCCTTCAAGGGTAGATTGAAGGGCGTCCCAGATGGATCGATCGACCGAAGGCCGTGGTATTCCCGGGGCGTTCGTGGTTGTTCGAGTGCTGAGTGCACCCCCTTCTGCCTCTGGATATGGGTCTACTCTGTTCTTTTGTTCCAGTTGTTTTTACCGTTTGTTATCTTTGTAGATGCCGTATGGCGGTTTGTAATGAATCCATTCCATTATCCTCAAAAAAATATATATGTATTTTTAATCCAAATAATATATTTTGAAATATATGTATTTAAAATTCATATATTTTAAATAAATATATTTCAAAGACACAATC